AGAATCGAAATTTGAAATATCGAAATTTTTGAAATTTCCATAAATTAGGCATTTCGTACCGATTCCTTCGAAAATGTCGCTCCGCGACCATCAGCAGGCTATATTTTTGGAATCAGCACGTCGAGATCTACGTCCCTGAATTTTTTCGGAATTTTTAGACGACTTTTTTAAAAGTGAAAATTTTCCAATGGTCCCCCCTTCTTCAAATTTCGCCGTAATTTTGACATTTTCGAAACCTAACTAAGTACATTTTCTTGTAGATTTCGAGCGGTAGAACTCACTTCCGGCCTCGATTCTTTGATAGCTGCTACCGTTTTTCCAGAATCGACGGTTGAAATATCGAAATTATTGAAATTTCCATAAATTAGGCATTTCGTACCGATTTATTCGAAAATGTCGCTTTGCGACCATCAACAGGCTATATTTTTGGAATCAGCACGTCCAAGTCTACGTCCCTGAATTTTTTCAGAATTTTTAGACGACTTTTTTAAAAGTGAAAATTTTCCAATGGTCCCCCCTTCTTCAAATTTCGCCAAAATTTTGACATTTTCGTAACCTAATTGAGTACATTTTCTTGTAGATTTCGTGCCGTAGAACTCACTTCCGGCCTCGATTTTTTGATAGCTGCAACCGTTTTTCCAGAATCGAAATTTGAAATATCGAAATTTTTGAAATTTCCATAAATTAGGCATTTCGTACCGATTTCTTCGAAAATGTCGCTCCGCGACCATCAACAGGCTATATTTTTGGAATCAGCATGTCGAGATCTACGTCCCTGAATTTTTTCGGAATTTTTAGACGACTTTTTTAAAAGTGAAAATTTTCCAATGGTCCCCCCTTCTTCAAATTTCGCCGTAATTTTGACATTTTCGAAACCTAACTGAGTACATTTTCTTGTAGATTTCGAGCCGTAGAACTCACTTCCGGCCTCGATTTTTTGATAGCTGCAACCGTTTTTCCAGAATCGACGGTTGAAATATCGAAATTTTTGAAATTTCCATAAATTAGTCATTTGGTACCGATTTCTTCGAAAATGTCGCTCCGCGACCATCAACAAGCTATATTTTTGGAATCAGCACGTCGAGATCTACGTCCCTGAATTTTTTCAGAATTTTTAGACGACTTTTTTAAAAGTGAAAATTTTCCAATGGTCCCCCCTTCTTCAAATTTCGCCAAAATTTTGACATTTTCGTAACCTAACTGAGTACATTTTCTTGTAGATTTCGAGCCGTAGAACTCACTTCCGGCCTCGATTTTTTGATAGCTGCAACCGTTTTTCCAGAATCGACGTTTGAAATATCGAAATTATTGAAATTTCCATAAATTAGGCATTTCGTACCGATTTATTCGAAAATGTCGCTCCGCGACCATCAACAGGCTATATTTTTGGAATCAGCACGTCCAGGTCTACGTCCCTGAATTTTTTCGGAATTTTTAGACGACTTTTTTAAAAGTGAAAATTTTCCAATGGTCCCCCCTTTTTCAAATTTCGCCAAAATTTTGACATTTTCGTAACCTAACTGAGTACATTTTCTTGTAGATTTCGAGCCGTAGAACTCACTTCCGGCCTCGATTCTTTGATAGCTGCAACCGTTTTTCCAGAATCGACGGTTGAAATATCGAAATTTTTGAAATTTCCATAAATTGGGCATTTCGTACCTATTTGTTCAAAAATGTCGCTCCGCGACCATCAACAAGCTATATTTTTGGAATCAGCACGTCGAGATCTACGTCCCTGAATTTTTTCAGAATTTTTAGACGACTTTTTTAAAAGTGAAAATTTTCCAATGGTCCCCCCTTCTTCAAATTTCGCCGAAATTTTGACATTTTCGAAACCTAACTGAGTACATTTTCTTGTAGATTTCGAGAAGTAGAACTCACTTCCGGCCTCGATTCTTTGATAGCTGCAACCGTTTTTCTAGAATCGACGGTTGAAATATCGAAATTTTTGAAATTTCCATAAATTAGGCATTTCGTACCTATTTGTTCAAAAATGTCGCTCCGCGACCATCAACAAGCTATATTTTTGGAATCAGCACGTCGAGATCTACGTCCCTGAATTTTTTCAGAATTTTTAGACGACTTTTTTAAAAGTGAAAATTTTTCAATGGTCCCCCCTTCTTCAAATTTCGCCGAAATTTTGACATTTTCGAAACCTAACTGAGTACATTTTCTTGTAGATTTCGAGAAGTAGAACTCACTTCCGGCCTCGATTCTTTGATAGCTGCAACCGTTTTTCCAGAATCGACGGTTGAAATATCGAAATTTTTGAAATTTCCATAAATTAGGCATTTCGTACCTATTTGTTCAAAAATGTCGCTCCGCGACCATCAACAAGCTATATTTTTGGAATCAGCACGTCGAGATCTACGTCCCTGAATTTTTTCAGAATTTTTAGACGACTTTTTTAAAAGTGAAAATTTTTCAATGGTCCCCCCTTCTTCAAATTTCGCCGAAATTTTGACATTTTCGAAACCTAACTGAGTACATTTTCTTGTAGATTTCGAGCCGTAGAACTCACTTCCGGCCTCGATTCTTTGATAGCTGCAACCGTTTTTCCAGAATCGACGGTTGAAATATCGAAATTTTTGAAATTTCGATAAATTAGGCATTTCGTACCGATTTCTTCGAAAATGTCGCTCCGCGACCATGAACAAGCTATATTTTTGGAATCAGCCCGTCGAGATCTACATCCCTGAATTTTTTCAGAATTTTCAGACGACTTTTTTAAAAGTGAAAATTTTCCAATGGTCCCCCCTTCTTCAAATTTCGCCGAAATTTTGACATTTTCGAAACCTAACTGAGTACATTTTCTTGTAGATTTCGAGCCGTAGAACTCACTTCCGGCCTCGATTCTTTGATAGCTGCAACCGTTTTTCCAGAATCGACGGTTGAAATATCAAAATTTTTGAAATTTCCATAAATTAGGCATTTCGTACCTATTTGTTCAAAAATGTCGCTCCGCGACCATCAACAAGCTATATTTTTGGAATCAGCACGTAGAGATCTACGTCCCTGAATTTTTTCAGAATTTTTAGACGACTTTTTTAAAAGTGAAAATTTTCCAATGGTCCCCCCTTCTTCAAATTTCGCCGAAATTTTGACATTTTCGAAACCTAACTGAGTACATTTTCTTGTAGATTTCGAGCCGTAGAACTCACTTCCGGCCTCGATTCTTTGATAGCTGCAACCGTTTTTCCAGAATCGACGGTTGAAATATCGAAATTTTTGAAATTTCAATAAATTAGGCATTTCGTACCGATTTCTTCAAAAATGTCGCTCCGCGACCATGAACAAGCTATATTTTTGGAATCAGCACGTCGAGATCTACGTCCCTGAATTTTTTCAGAATTTTTAGACGACTTTTTTAAAAGTGAAAATTTTCCAATGGTCCCCCCTTCTTCATATTTCGCCGAAATTTTGACATTTTCGAAACCTAACTGAGTACATTTTCTTGTAAATTTCGAGCCGTAGAACTCACTTCCGGCCTCGATTCTTTGATAGCTGCAACCGTTTTTCCAGAATCGACGGTTGAAATATCGAAATTTTTGAAATTTCCATAAATTAGGCATTTCATACCAATTTCTTCGAAAATGTCGCTCCGCGACCATCAGCAGGCTATATTTTTGGAATCAGCACGTCGAGATCTACGTCCCTGAATTTTTTCAAAATTTTTAGACGACTTTTTTAAAAGTGAAAATTTTCCAATGGTCCCCCCTTCTTCAAATTTCGCCGAAATTTTGACATTTTCGAAACCTAACTGAGTACAGTTTCTTGTAGATTTCGAGCCGTAGAACTCACTTCCGGCCTCGATTCTTTGATAGCTGCAACCGTTTTTCCAGAATCGACGGTTGAAATATCGAAATTTTTGAAATTTCCTTAAATTAGGCATTTCGTGCCGATTTCTTCGAAAATGTCGCTCCGCGACCATCAACAGGCTATATTTTTGGAATTAGCACGTCGAGATCTACGTCCTTGAATTTTCTCAGAATTTTTAGACGACTTTTTTAAAAGTGAAAATTTTCCAATGGTCCCCCCTTCTTCAAATTTCGCCGAAATTTTGACATTTTCGAAACCTAACTGAGTACCTTTTCTTGTAAATTTCGAGCCGTAGAACTCACTTCCGGCCTCGATTCTTTGATAGCTGCAACCGTTTTTCCAGAATCGACGGTTGAAATATCGAAATTTTTGAAATTTCCATAAATTAGGCATTTCATACCGATTTCTTCGAAAATGTCGCTCCGCGACCATCAGCAGGCTATATTTTTGGAATCAGCACGTCGAGATCTACGTCCCTGAATTTTTTCGGAATTTTTAGACGACTTTTTTAAAAGTGAAAATTTTCCAATGGTCCCCCCTTCTTCAAATTTCGCCGAAATGTTGACATTTTCGAAACCTAACTAAGTACATTTTCTTGTAGATTTCGAGCGGTAGAACTCACTTCCGGCCTCGATTCTTTGATAGCTGCAACCGTTTTTCCAGAATCGACGGTTGAAATATCGAAATTTTTGAAATTTCCATAAATTAGGCATTTCGTATCGATTTCTTCGAAGATGTCGCTCCACGACCATCAACAAGCTATATTTTTGGAATCAGCACATCGAGATCTACGTCCCTGAATTTTTTCACAATTTTTAGACGACTTTTTTAAAAGTAAAAATTTTCCAATCGCCCTTTGATTTTTTTTTTTAATTCGATTTATTTGATATGTTTCTGGAACACAAACATAATGCAAAAGTCGGTCGATGGTCCCCAGTTAGGTTCCATAAAAAATAAATAAAAATATAAATAAATTGATAAAATTTTTATTAAAATCTCTATTTCAAGTTCAATATGGTGACGAACATGTTTTAGAAATAATAACTTCGCAATCTATATTTTTCAATTCTGTTTTGATTACAACATTTTAATGGCAGTGTCCCAACCTATGCTACGATACGGCCGTGATTACTGATTTTATTTACAGAAAAAAAAATTAAAATATCGTTAGTGCATAATTTTTAAGAATCTTGTTGGTACAGATGTTGCAATACAGCAAAATAAGAATACGACGATCGCAGTATCTAAAAAATACATGAAATTTAGGAACTATTTATACCGAAATAAAACCGTCTTTACGCTCGTCAACGTCGCAAGAGACAACGTAACGAATTTTCCTGCTGTTAAAACCACCGGCTTTTTCGTCTTTTCTAGAAAAATCGTAATACTTTTGCGAATGTTGATGTCAGAATCGTACCAGTTGGACATGTAGCAGAACTTTCCCAGTTCGTCACTCTAAAAAAATTATAGTACCTATTTATTTCGAAAATTAAAATTTCTGATCTTACAGTTGTCATCACTTCGTGACCGTACCAACAATACATGGCGACTTGACACATCATGCAGAAGAAATACATGACCAAAAACACAAACTGAATACTCGCCATTGGAACCTAGAATCGAAATTCAAAAAAAGAGATTTCGTGTCGTCAAACTGTCAAATTTACAACAAGCAGCTGAAAACCGGTAAAACAGATGATGATGACACTGGACAAGAACTGCATGAAAATTCCCTTGGAGAACACGAACTCGATTTTGTGCACCAAACTGCCACAAAAACAACAATAATAAAAACTGTGTTATTAAATTATTTAAAATATTTACTCAATCACTGCGTTGTGTTGTTGTATACAAATCCCGAACGTTTCCTTAGTCATTTCCAACTCTTTATCACCGTTCGATTTGTACTCCAAGTCCCTCAGATTCTCTTTCAAAATTTCCATCTCACCAGAAGCTACTGCAATCAGCTTCCAGGTCAAAATATCGATACTCGAGTTATTATAAGCGCTAACGCAGACGCTCAAAATTTGAAAAATTATAGTTTCCAAGTAAAACGTGTCAGTATCGTAAGGTAGCCAACCCGGAAGCGGCAAATTTTTCTCGTCTCCTAGTAAAGGTAAAACTGAATAAAAAATAATACAAAGCACACACGACATTCTAAATATTTTCGCAATCGTGTTACAAGACCCAATTTTGGAAATGAAAATTCCTAGTTGTTTTTCAGAGAACGAGTAAAATATTTCAGCACACAAATCGTCCTCGATTGTCAGTAAGTTCCGTCTGTAGTACCCAAAATTTGTCAGTTTTCCCAAAAACGTAAAATGGGTCATAAAAAACAGCAAAGTGTCTGTTAGTTTCGACAAGTCTTTCCTGTCGACGACCATTTGCCCAATCATTGAAAACAGCTGCAAATATGAAACCACGACGTTGATTAAAGCGCTTGTGAAGTAGAAAGGTACGTTTATCTGGTGTCTTTGGGGGTAGAATCCTGAAAGTGACAGCAGCGTTCTTTCAGTTTTGAAAACATCACGCAGATCGAACGCTTGAATACGTTTTAGAACCATCTTTGTACGTCTTGTTACGTAATCTACCAGTTTACGACTCCTTGCTTTCCAAAAATTCGAACATAGATCGATAATTTTAATTGCTGTTAAGAAACCTGGTTATTAGTTACTAGTGTGTGGGTCAAATATTAATACGAGTAGATGGGGTTTGTGTTTGATAATTCACTAATTTATTAATAAGCGTCTTCCCCTATGTGAAAATATGGCTACGTTACGTTAGTCTAATTTTGTCTTTGATTATTACTGCAAGGGGTTAAACGAAATAAGTGGCGGTTTAAATTTTGAAAACTAAATTAAAAAAAAAAGATAATTGCTGGGTGGAGTAGATAATTTATTTAATGTTGTGTTGCTAATACATTGTTAATGAATGTTGTGTTGGACCTTGTTTAGTGTTGAAGTCGACATGGGGTGGTATTGCTGAGCACCACGTTTTTAAAACGTTAAATTTTAGGTCACCAGACTGAAATAATGTTGCAATGTTGGTGTGAGTATGTAATATTTAGAAGTATTGTGTCGTCAAAAATGGAGGAGGCGCTGGCGGACCTGAAATTGCTTGGAATTACAATTTCTTGTCTATTTTCATTTTAGTGTAGAATCACAATTAAAGGAAAAACGATTGATACTTGGATAAAATATTTAACGAAACACATTTTCTTGTAAACTCTAACCGTTTTTCCAAAATCGCCCTGAAATATCGCAATTTTTGGTCTTTAAAAAATTAGAATTTAGAAGCGCATTTTTTGAAAATTTTGCTCCATGACCATAAATAAACTATATTTTTGAAATCAGCACGTCGCCATCTAGAATCCAGAATTTGTGGGGATTTTTAGATAATTTTTTCAAAAGCCAAATTTTTTTCAGAAGTGAATACCTTCAAATTTCTGGGCTCGTTTCTTCGATAAATTCAACCGTTTTTCCAGATTTGCCCATTGAAATATAACAACTTATGGATTTTCTTAAAGATTTAATCACAAAGGCGAATTTTTCGATAATTTTTTGTTTTTCTTTATTTTTTGATAATTTCTTGGGCTTTCTGTTTTTTTTTGGATTTCCGGGATTTTTTGTCCTTTTTTGGATCTTACGGATTTTTCGGATTTTTGGGCTTTTTAAATTTTTTGTATTTTTTTACCTTAAAAAGGATTTGGCTTTTGAGTTTGTTGGATATTTTAAGATTTTTTAAATTCTTTCGATTTTTTAGATTTTTGGAATTTTATGATTTACTAGAATTTTATTTATTTTTAGATTGTTCAGTTCGTTTCATTTTTTGGATTTTTTACGAATTCTTTTATTTGTTCATTTGTTTTTTTTTAGGATTTTTTGAACTGTTTGGCTTCTAGATTTTTTTTTGTTCCTTTCGACTTTTTTTTTATTTACTCATTTCTTACATTTCTTGAATAAATTTCATTCTTTGATTTTTTTCTGATTTTTTAAATTTTTTGAATTATTGGCTGTCTTGAATTTTTCGTTTTCTTTTAATTTTGGATTTTCATTTATTTTTTTTTATTTTTAAGATTGTTTGAATATTTTACATTTTTTCGCTTTTTGTTTTTTTGGATTTATTAAATTTTAGGATTTTTTGGAGTTTTAAGATATTCTCCATCTTTTGGATTTTTGGAATTATTGGATTTCTTGAGCCTGAATCTAAAAAATCCAAGACTTCCGATTTATTAAATTTTTGTTTTTTCTAATTCTTTGACTTATTTTTAGTTGTTTTAATATTTTAATATTTAAATTATTTGGATTATTGGATTTCTTGAGTTTCGTGAGTTTCGTCAGTTTTTTGGATTACTTGATTTATTTAGTTTCTTGGGTTTCTTGCATTTCTTGGGTTTTTAGGATTTGTTGTATCTTTTTTTTCCGATTTTCTGGATTTTTAATTTCCATTTCTGGAATTTTTGGATGTCTTGCATTTTTTAAGTTTCTAAGGATTTTTTTAAATCCTTTAATTTTTTGGATTCTTTCGATTTTTTCTTTCCAGTTTTTTTTTTAATTTTTTTATTCATTCAATTTCTTAGATAATTTTTATTTTTTGTTTTGTTCTTCAATTTTTTTGGCCCTTTGATATATTTTCCATTTTTTGGATTACTGGATTTCTTGAACTTCTTGCATTTCTTGGATTTTTGGATTTTTAAATTTTTTTTAATTTTTTTCGATTTTTTTTAATTGTTTGTATATTTTCAGATCACTGGATTTCTTCAGTTTCTTTCTTTAATTTTTTAGATTCTTCATATTTTTTGGAAATCTGTTTCATTTTTTTGGATTACTGGATTTATTTAGTTTCATGGGTTTTTAGTTATTAGATATTAGTTCTTTCCATTTTTTATTGAAATTATTGGATGTCTCCGTTTTTGCGTTTTTTTGATTTTTTCGATTTTCTTGGATAATTTAAAATTTTTTGGATATTTTTGTTATTTGATTTTTATAATTTTGGAATTATTGGTTGTCTTGCATTTTTTAAATTTCTTAGGTCTTTTGAATTTTTTTGGGTTTTGTGGATCTTTTTGGATTCTTGGATTTTTTTTAAATCCTTTGATTTTTTCTTCTCGGTTTTTTATTTTTTTTATTTATTCAATTTTTTCGATTTATTTTGATAATTTTTATTTTTTGTTTTGTGCTTGAATTTTTTGGATTTTTGAGATATTTTCCCTTGTTTGGATTACTGGATTTCTCGAATTTCTTGCATTTCTTGCATTTTTGGATTTTTAAAATGTTTTTGATTTTTTCGATTTTTTAAAATTTTTTGAATATTTTCAAATTATTGGTTTACTGGACTTCTTCAGTTTCTTAGGATTTTTGCATTGCTTGGATTTTTTGAATTATTTAATTTTTAAAATTCTTCATACTTTTTTTGATATTTTTTTCAGTTTTTTTGGATTACTGGGTTTATTTAGTTTCTTGGGTTTCTAGCATTTCTTGGGTTTTTCGCATCTTTCGGATTTTTCAAATTTTTCAGATGTTTTGGATATTAATCCCTTCCATTTTTATTGGAATTATTGGAATTATTGGATATATTCGGTTTTTTGAGCTTTTAGGATTATTTCGGTTTTTCTTGGATAATTTCAAATTTTTTCATTTTTTTGTTATTTGATTTTTTTTTTAATTTTTGAGCCATTTTCCATTTTTATACTTTTGAAATTATTGGATTTTTTTCTTTAGATTTTTAAAACTATGGGGTTTATTGCGTTTCTTGTTTTTTTTTAATCTTTTGATTTTTTTTAATCTTTTGATTTTTTGAATTGTTTAGATTTTTTCGATTTTTTCTTCTCTGTTTTTTATTTTTTTTTATTTATTCAATTTCTTCGATTTATTTTGATAATTTTAATTTTTTGTTTTATTCTTCAATTTTTTGGATTTTTGAGATATTTACCATTTTTTGGATTACTGGATTTCTTCGATTTCTTGGATTATTGGATTTTTAGATTTTTAAAATTTTTTATTTTTTCGTTTTTTTTTTAATTTTTTCAATATTTTCAAATTATTGGTTTGCTGGATTTCTTCAGTTTCTTAGGATTTTTACATTTCTTGAATTTTTTTAATACTTTGAGTTTTTAGATTCTCCATATTTTTCGGATACCTTCTTCAGTTTTTTTTATTGCTGGATTTATTTAGTTTTTGGATTTCTTGCATTTCTTGAATTTTTCGCATCTTTCGGATTTTTCAGATTTTTCAGATGTTTTGGATATTAATTCTTTCCATTTTTTATTGGAATTATTGGATATCTTCGTTTTTGGGTTTTTAGGACTTTTTCAGTTTTTCTTGTATAATTTTAATTTTTTTTTTATTTTTTTGTTATTTGATTTTTTGAATTTTTGAGCTATTTTCCATTTTTATGCTTTTAGAATTATTGGTTGTCTTGCATTTTTTAAGTTTCTTAGGTCTTTTGAATTTTTTGGGTTTTGCGGATCTTTTTGGATTCTGTTGGATTATTTTATAATTTTTGGGATGTTTTTTTTGATTTTTAAAACTATTGGGTTTCTTAGGTTTCTTGGATTTTTTTTTTAATCTTTTGATTTTTTGAATTATTTGGATTTTTTCGATTTTTTCTTCTCTGTTTTTTATTCTTTTGTTATTTATTTAAATTCTTCGATTTATTTTGATAATTTTAATTTTTGCTTCGTTCTTCATTTTTTTGTATTTTTGAGATATTTTCCATTTTTTGAATTGCTGGATTTCTTCGATTTCTTGGATTATTGGATTTTTAATTTTTTTTATTTTTTTTCGATTTTTAATTTTTTTTTAATATTTTCAAATCATTGGTTTACTGGATTTCTTTAGTTTCCTAGGATTTTTGCATTTCTTGGATTTTTTAAAACCTTTAATTTTTTAGATTCTTCATATTTTTTTGATATTTTCTTCATTTTTTGGATTACTGGATTTATTTAGTTTCTTAGGTTTCTTGCACTTCTTGAATTCTTCGCATCTTTCGGATTTTTCAGATTTTTCAGATGTTTTAGATATTAGTTCTTTCCATTTTTTCTTGGAATTATTGAATATCTTCATTTTTGGGTTTTTAGGACTTTTTCAATTTTTCTTGAATAATTTTAAATTTTTGTTATTTGATTTTTTTGAATTTTTGAGCTATTTTTCATTTTTATACTTTTGGAATTGGAATTGGTTGTCTTGCATTTTTTAAATTTCTTAGGTCTTTTGAATTTTTTGAGTTTTGTGGATCTTTTTGGATTCTGTTGCTTTTTTTAATGATTTTTGGAATATTTTTTTCTTTGGATTTTTAAAACTGTTGAGTTTCTTGAGTTTCTTGGATTTTTTTTAAATCCTTTGATTTTTTGAATTGTTTGGATTTTTAAACTTTTTTCTTCTCTGATTTTTTTTATTTTTTTAATTCCTTCGATTAATTTTGATAATTTTTATTTTTTGTTTTGTTCCTCAATTTTTTCGATTTTTGAGATATTTTCCATTTTTGGATTACTGTATTTCTTGAATTTCTTGCATTCCTTGGGTTTTTGGATTTTTTTTAATTTTTGGATTTTCTGGATCTTTTAAAAAAATTTATTTTACAACCGAATATTTCGAAAATGTTGCTCCGTGACCCTAAACACGATATATTTTTATGGGTAGAATTGTTTTTTTTTTCTTATTTTTAGTTTTACGTTCTTGTAATTGTTAATTTTTAATTTTGTTCAGTTTTCCAGAATTTTTTGGGGATTTTTAAACAACTTTTTCAAAAGTGAAAATTTTCCAATCGCCCTTTGAAATATTGCAACCTATCTTATATTTCTAATATTCTTCATAAAAAATAAATAAAAATGTAAGTAAATTGATAAAATGTTTATTAAAATCTAAATTACAATTTCAATATGGTGACGAACATGTTTTAAAAATTTTATTCTAAAATATCGTTAGTTCATAATTTTTAAGAATCTTGTTGGTACAGATGTTGCAATACAGCAAAATAAGAATACGACGATCGCAGAATCTAAAAAATACATAAAGTTTAGAAACTATTTATACCAAAATAAAGCCGTCTTTACGCCCGTCAACGTCGCAAGAGACAACGTAACAAATTTTCCTGCCGTTAAAACCACCGGCTTCTTCGTCTTTTCTAGAAAAATCGTAATGCTTTTCCGAATGTTGATGTCAGAATCGTACCAGTTAGACATGTAGCAGAACTTACCCAGTTCGTCACTCTAAAAAAATTATAATAGCTATTTATTTCGAATATCAAAATTTCTGAACTTACAGTTGTCATCACTTCGTGACCGTACCAACAATACATGGCGACTTGACACATCATGCAGAAGAAATACATTACCAAAAACACAAACTGAATACTGGCCATTGGAACCTAAAATCGAAATTCAAAAAAAAGATTTCGTGTCGTCAAACTGTCAAACTTACAACAAGAAGCTGAAAACCGGTGAAACAGATGATGATGACACTGGACAAGAACTGCATGAAAATTCCCTTGGAGAACACGAACTCGATTTTGTGCACCAAACTGCCACAAAAACAATACATTTTTTTTTAATTTTAAAATTAACTAAAATACTTACTTAATCAGTGCGTTGTGTCGTTCTATAAAACTTCTAAAAATTTTCTTAGTCTTGCTTGCATCTTTGTGGACTAAGTCCCTCAGATTTACTTTCAAAATCTCCATTTCCCCAGACGCTATTGTAATCAACTTCCAAGTCAAAATATCAATCGTTGAGTTATTAAAAGCCGTGACGCAGACGCTGAAATTTTGGAAAATTACAGTTTCGTAGTAAAATTTGTCGGTGTCGTAAGGCAACCATCCCGGGAGCGGCAAACCCTTTTCTTCTCCCAGTAATGGTAAAAAAGAATAGAAAAGAATGCATAGCACACACGACAGTCTAAATATTTTCGCAATCATGTTACAAGAGTCAATTTTAGAAATCAAAATTCCTAGTTGATTTTTGGAAAAAGAGTACAAAATTCCGGCACGTAGATCATCCTCAATTGTCAACAAGTTCCGTCGGTAGTACCCAAAATTTATCAATTTTACCAGAAACGTAACATGGGTCATAAAATATAACAGAGTGTCTGTAAGTTTCGACAAGTCTTTTCTGTCGATGACCATTTGACCAATCATTGAGAATAGTTGCAGAAATGTGACCAAAGTGTTGATTAAAGCTCGTGTAAAGTAGAAAAAAATGCCTGTGTTGTCTCTTCGCGGATAGAACCCTGAAAATGATAGCAGTTTTCGTTCGGTTTGGATAATGTCACACAGACACAACGTCTAAAAAAAATATTTAAGAATACAGTTGATTTGAAAAATAATGGAGAACTTTTGTGACCATTGTGCGTGCGTCTGGCAACAAGACTGTTGGTAATCTAACGATTATAGTACTTGGCATTCCAAAAAATTCTATTCTATTAAATCGATAATTTTAATTACCATCAGAAACCTGATTATTAGCTGAATACGTCGCGTTAGATTTGATAAGTCAAATATTAATACGAGTAGTTGGGGTTTGGGGCTGATAATTCACTAATTTATTAATGTGAGGGCTTTCCCTATGTGAAAATACGGTTAGACTAAGCTGGCTTAATTTCGTTCCGTCATTATTGCTTTGAACTTCACGAAATAAGTGGCGGTTTACCAGTTTGAAAAAGAGTTCAAAAAAAAGAGAGAAAAGAAGCTAATTGCTGGGTAGAATAGATAATTTATATAATTTTGTGTCGTCGATGGGTCAAATGGTAATGTTTTTTACATTATGTTACATTTTAGTAAGGTAAGGGTTTATTCTACTTATTGCAAACATTTCTGAAATACTTTTTCAAACAAGAGTACAAGTTCTAGTTATTGTATCACTTGTGCTTTGGATTCAAAGCATCAGTTTTTCTGAAATAAATCAATGAAATAAAAATTCATTAACAGGTAAATTTATTTATTGGATCATTTTATGTACTGTAAAAAACTGCACAAAGAAAAAATTATTTGAGCTTTTTAATGTTTATTATGTCAAAATGTGATTGTTTTATCTGGAATATAATTTTAAATTATATAGGCAACCAACAATACACCAAATTAAATGCATTTATTTTTTTTATTGCTTTTTAAATAGGATTTGTCTGTTGGGTTTCGATATTTTGTATTTATACATATTTTACTTTTTATATTTTTAAATTATTGAATTTTTAGGATTTTTCGAATTGTTTGGATTTTTTAGGTTATTTGTTTTTTTCTCGTTTTTTTTTTGATTACTCATTTTATTCGATTTCTTTCAATTTTTTCCATTTTTTGTAATTATTGGAAGTTTTGAATTTTTGTTTTTGAATTTGTTAGATATTTTGGAATTTTGGATTTTTTGTTTTTTTACTTTTTGGATTCATTTTTTTTCCGATTTTTTGATTAATTCTAACTTTTTTATTTTTTATTTTTTAATTTTTTTGATTTTTTGGATCTTTCGAATATAATTCGGATTTATTTTTTTGGATCTCTTTGGATTCTTTTGGATTTTTTTCACTTTAAATAAGAATTTTTTCTTGGGTCCTGGATATTTTTGTTTTTTTTTAATGTTTTCGATTTTTTTTTAATATTTGGACTTTTTAGATTTTTTTGGAATTGTTAGTTTTTTATTTCTTTTCATTTTTTGGAATTATTCTCTTCGTTTTTGGGGTTTTTAGGGTTTTTTGGTGTTTTTTGAATTGTTTTATTTTTTTTTTGTTTATTTATTTTGTCGATAGTTTTTATTCTTCTTCTGATTTTTTTCTTTTCAATATTTTTGTCTTAGTTTCCACTTTTTAGATTTCGGAAGTAGGTATTCGATTTCTTGAGGTTATTTCGTAATTTTTTTAATCTTTTTGGATTTTTTAAATTTCTGAATTAATTTTTTGAAATTTCTAGATTTTTTGAATTTTTTAGATTTTTTTTTATTTATCCGTTTTTTCTTTTGGATTTACTTAATTTTTTCGATTACTTGGATAATTTTTATTTTTTGATAATTTTAATTCCCTGATTTTTTGGATTTTTGAACTAGTTTCCATTTTTTAGATTTTTGGCATTATTGAATATCTTGAATTTTTTGAATTTCTTTGGTTCCTTGAATTTTTTGGTTTTTCAACTTTTATGGGATAATTTTCATTCTTTGAATGTTTGAAATTATCGGTTTTTTTATTTCTTGATTTTTTTTATTCCCTGATTTTTTGGATTTTTGAAGTAGTTCTATTTTTTTGATTTTTGGAATTATTGGATGTTCTGAATTTTTGAAGTTTGTTTCTTCAACTTTTTCGGTTTTCTGGATTTTTAAATTTTTTGAATTTTTTGGTTTTTTGCATTTTTTGTTTCTTTTTGTAATTTTTAAGTTTTTTGTATTAACTCAATTTTTCTGATTTTTTGGATAACTTTCTTTTTTTGTTCCTCATTTTTTAGGATTTGGGATAATTTTCATTCTTTGAATTTTTTAAATTATCGGTTTTTTGAATTTTTAAAAATCTTTGATTTTTTGAATTGTTTGGTTTTTGTTTCTTTTTTTTTTAATTTTTTGGATTTATCCAATTTTTCCGATTTTTTATTGAATATTTTTCGCTTTTTTGTTCCTCGATTTTTTCTTGTTTTTTTTTTTCGGGGGATTTTTTGTAATATTTTGGATTTTTCAAATTGTTTTTTTTTATTTATCTTCACCTAAATAGGATTTGTTTCTTGGGTTTCTTGGAAATACATATTTAGATTTTTTAATTTTTTTCGATTTTTTTATTTTTTAATTTTTTTGATTTTTTAATTTTTTAGAATTTTGGACTTTTTTAGATTTTTTAGTATTTTTCGCTTTTTTGATTTTTTAATTTATTGGATTTTTCAGGTTTTTGCGTTTTTAGGAATTTTTCGATTTCTTGAACATTTTTTTTGGATTTTTGAACTAGTTTCCTTTTTTTAATTTTTGGAATTATTGGATGTCCTGAAATTTTGGAGTTTCTTAGTTTTTTTGAATTTTTAAAATTTTTGGATTTTTTTAATACTTTGATTTTTTGAAGTGTTTGGATTGTTTGCATTTTTTGCTGCTTTTTCTTTTTTTTTAGTTTTTTGGTTTTACTCAAGTTTTCTGATTTTTTTTGGATAATTTTCTTTTTATTCCTCCTTGTTTACGAGTTTTTTGGATTTTTGGGATATTTTCCACTTGAATTTTTGAATTTTTAAAATTTTTTAATATTTTGGATTTTTTATGTTTTTTGGATATTTTCAATATTTTAGTTTACTGGATTTCTCGAGTTTCTTGGCTTTTTGGGATTTTTTGGATTTCTTTTGACTTTTTGGATTTTTTTTCACCTTAAATGAAATTTGTTTCTTGAATCTCTTAGGGATTTTTGTAGATTTTTTAGATTTTTGAGCTTTTTGAGCTTTTTTAGTTGTTTTCATTTTATGGAATTTTGGATTCTTGTATTATTGGATTCGTGAATTTGGTTTCGATTTTTGAATTTTTAAAATTCTCAGTTGCTTGGATTTTTTAGATTTTTTTATTTATGCGAATTTTTTTGGAATTACTAATTTTTTTCGATTACTTGGGTAATTTTTATTTCTTGATTTTTTTTATTCCCTGATTTTTTGGATTTTTGAAGTAGTTCTATTTTTTTGATTTTTGGAATTATTGGATGTTCTGAATTTTTTAAGTTTGTTTCTTGAACTTTTTCGGTTTTCTGGATTTTTAAATTTTTTGAATTTTTTAGTTCTTTGATTCTTTGAATTGTTTGGTTTTTTGCATTTTTTGTTTCTTTTTGTTTTTTTTTTTAAGTTTTTTGTATTAACTCATTTTTTCTGATTTTTTGGATAACTTTCTTTTTTTGTTCCTCATTTTTTAGGATTTTTTGGATGTTTCGGAAATTTACCATTTCTTGAATTTTTGAATTTTTTTAATTTTTTTAATTTTTTAATATTTTGGATGATTTTAAGTTTTTGGATATTTTCAAATTTTGGGTTACCAGATTTCCCGAGTTTCTTGTGTTTTTTGGGATTTTTTGGATTATTTTGGATATTTTTGGATTTCTTTTGACTTTTTGGATTTTTTTTCACCTTAAATGAGATTTGTTTCTTGAATCTCTTAGGGATTTTTGTAGATTTTTTAGATTTTTTAGCTTTTGGAATTTTGGATTCTTGTATTATTGGATTCGTGAATTTGGTTTTGATTTTTGAATTTTTAAAATTCTCAGTTGCTTGGATTTTTTAGATTTTTTTATTTATGCGAATTTTTTTGGAATTACTAATTTTTTTCGATTGCTTAGGTAATTTTTATTTCTTGATTTTTTTATTCCCTGATTTTTTGGATTTTTGAAGTAGTTCTATTTTTTTGATTTTTGGAATTATTGGATGTTCTGAATTTTTGGAGTTTATGTTCTTGAATTTTTTCGGTTTTCTGGATTTTTAAATTTTTTGAATTTTTTAGTTCTTTGATTTTTTGAATTGTTTCGTTTTTTGCATTTGTTGTTTCTTTCTGTTTTTTTAAGTTTTTTGTATTAACTCAATTTTTCCGATTTTTTGGATAACTTTCTTTTTTTGTTCCTCATTTTTTAGGATTTTTTTGGATGTTTGGGAAAATTTCCGTTTCTTGAATTTTTGATTTTTTTAATTTTTTAATATTTTGGATGATTTTAAGTTATAGATAAAGATATTTTCAAATTTTGGATTACCGGATTTACCGAGTTTCTTGGGTTTTTTGGGATTTTTTGGATTATTTTGGATATTTTTGGATTTCTTTTGTTTTTTGGATTTTATTTCACCTTAAATGAGATTTGTTTCTTGAATTTCTTCGATTTTTTAAATTTTTTAACTTTCTTTACCCTTTTTAGTTCTTTCCATTTTTTAGAATTATTGGATTTCTTGTGTTTCCTGGGTTTCTTGCATTTCTTGGGTTTTTGATTTTTTGGGACTTTTGGATTATAGATTCTTGGATTCGTGGATTTGGATTGGATTTTTTAATTTTTGGGATTCTCGAATACTTGGATTTTTGGATTTTTTGGGGGTTTTGTATTTGTCGGATCTTCCGAATATTTCGGATTTTTTTGGATTTACTTTGTATTGTTTTGTATTTTTTTCACCATAAATAGGATTTGCTTCTAGAGTCGTGGATATTTTATTGGATTTTTTAACTTTTTGTTTTTTTTTATTCTGATTTTTTGAATTTTTTCCATATTTTAGATTTTGCAATTATTCGATTTTTTGAGTTTCTTAGGTTTGTTGGGTTTTTTGGAATTTTTTGGTTTTTTTTTGGAATGTTTTTCATTCTTTGGATTTTTGGAATTATTGGGTTTCTTGAATTTTTAAAATTCTTGAATTTTTGGAAACGCTTTAATTTTTTTGAATTGTTTGGATTTTTAAATTTTTTTTTGATTTTTTTAGTTCTTTTGATTCTTTGGACTCATTGGATTTCTTCAGTTTCTTGGGTTTTTTGTTTTAAATAAAAAATAAAATAACCACACACTTCATACAAAATCTAATTTTTGTCTGTAACTCTGTAGTAACCACAAGCACAAAATTTTGAAGTTCTTATTGATATTTTAATGAAACCAGTTCTGAATAACATATGTCTACAAAAATAGATCTTGTTAAAAAAAAAGAAGATTATAAAAACGTACTTATTCCATGTTCCATGAGTTTGTTATTTTTCTTGTGTTTATTTATAATGTGTTCGTATTTTTACACTTTGTTACTTCTGTTATGCTTAATATATCGTGTTCTTTCTAATTTTATAAAATGTTATTATTTTCTTTTGGGATTGATAAGCGAAGTGGACGCCAGATCTTAGTTGGCTACGATTTTGCATAGGGACTTTCTTTCAAAAAAAAGCTGTCAGTAATTTAGTGACTTAGGTTGGTACGAAAAACGGAACTATCAAACAAATGGCACTACTGTCCTTTTTAAAGTGTCTATTTGTCTACAAATTTTCGGTGATTTTTCAACGACTTTTCCTGAGTCCAATTTTTCACCAGATTTACCCTTTTGGGGTGTCTAATAGTACATTAAAAAACAAACAATTGATTACGTCACGTGTAAAAAATAAAAAGATTAAAAAAGCTACAACATTGTCAATTTTTAAATGTTTAAACAAAAAAAGGCAACAGTGCCACCCCTTTCAAATTTGACATTCCCCCTGTAATGTCACCCTCGTGACAGTCATCCGGCGCCCCGTCCAAATTCCACGTATAAAAAATGATCGATTCGTACGAAAATAATTACAAACAGATCGACGACATAATAGACGAACGAAAAAAGTTGGGTCAATACAACGTCTGCAAACAAGCCACCCCCATCAATTATAGATATGCCTATTCCAGTGCCGCCACCACCAGCGAGAAGTTCATACGCTTCGACGACACGGCCATGGTGAGCGAGGGCGACTTCTTCAACAGCCACGAGCTCAAGTCGACCGACTCGGAGGTGACGGTGGTGCGGGTGCGCTGCGACGGCCTCTCCTTCAAGCGGCGCCCCAGCAAGTGGGACATGCACGACATCGCCATCCCCGGCGACGGCTCGCACCTGGGGGAGAGCCCCTCGATGGTGAACCTGGCCACGCTGGTGCAGCAGAACGACGAGTACCTGGTGCCGCTGTCCTCCTGGGACCCGTACTACAGCAAGCAGGAGGAGAGCAGCGGGAGCGCGGGCTGCGGGAACGACTTGAAGGAGGAGAAGGTCTCGGACGAGGAGTGCAGCATGAGCGCGAGCCAGGCCTCGGAGGAGAACAGCCTGAGTCTGGAGAGCAAGGCGTCGACGAACAGTCGGAGGCCGAGTTTGGCGGGGAGGATTTCGAAATTTTTGAGGCGGCACTGCAAGAGGGCGAAGACGCTGCCGGAGCCGTACCAACTTAACAGCACTGAACGAACGCAGAAGAAAGAGTAATTGGGGTTATGGAGGGTAAATTGTGTGTGTGGTTCTCTCGGAGACAGTTTTTATTACTATTACAGGGATTTTGGTAATAAATTATTTTGCGAGAGGGGTTGTTTTATTCGGTGCCTGGGGTATGGGGATAGAGGAAAAATCCCTAGGGAAATATGAAATGGAACATGGAACCATAGAATACCCTCCCGTGAATGAATGAAAGATACTCAACCTATCTATTCTACAGCCGTGGTGTTTACTATGCTATAAGTCTTCCTACCTCTATGGCTTAAACTAGCGTAAACATCTCAGCGAATATTTATCGAACTGCTTGAAACAGTAAGTAAATTTAAGATTATATTATTTTCTATTTGATTTTTACTTCCCGAGCGTAAGCAAAGGAAGTATTGTAATCGAGTCCGTCGGCCGACTCTCTACTTTTACGTTTTCTCGATCTTTCATGACCCCTAGAAGACGAAGAAATAGGTCTCCCATTTCCGTCTGTCTGTCCGTCTGTCCGTCTGAAAGGTGGGTGGGCCGGGCTAGTATACAAAATAAGACTTATCTTGGCCAATGACCTACTCTTCTAAGAAAAAATGCTAGCCCCGCACACCCACCCCTTGTTGTCTTAGAAGAGTAGGTCATCTGCCAAAATTAATCTTATCTTGGCAAGTATGAGACTGATTTTTGCAAATGACATATCCTCTAAGAGAATCAGGGTGGGTGGGCGAAGGGCTAGTACTTGCCAAGATGAGACAGATTTTGGGAGATGACTTACCTATTTTTCTAAGAAAATAAAGGCTGGGTGGGTGGAGCTAGTACTTGCTAAAAATAAAAAAAAAAACTTAAAAATAAAAAAATGACAAATTGAAAAACTGGATAAATGAGAAATCGGAAAATTGTACAACTGTTTAATTGGAAAATCAAAAACTGAAATATCGCAAAATTGAAAAAAAAACAAATCTTATAAAATCGAATTCAAAAGTCCAGTTTACATTTTTTTTAGTTTTTAGATTTTTCAACTTTTGAATATTTCATTTGATAATTTGTTTGACAATTTTGCAGTTTTTAATTCCAACTTTTAACTTTCCAATTTTGGAATTTTTTGATTTTTATTTTTTCGAGTTCTCAAGTTAAAACTTTTCCTTTTCACGATTTGTCATTTTTCGATTTTTTAACTAAAAGATCAAATTCAAAAATTGAAAATTAGAAACAAAATTTTCAGATCTTTTAAAGTTACGGTAAAGATGGCAATCGCTGATCAAAATTATTTTTTACTTCCTTCCAAAAACTCGGTAACAAAAAATCAAAAATCGAAAATTTAAAAAATAAACATCTATTTTCTCGATATTTTTCAAAATCAAATAATTGAGAAATCGGAAAACTGTCAAAATTGTAAAATTAAAAAATCGAAAGTTTTTTAAGGGAAATCAAATAACGAAAGACCGATCAAAAAATTGAAAATTTAAAAAGCGAGAAATTCAACTATTCGAAAGTTGAAAAATCGAAAAACTGAAAAATTTAGTAGTATTCGCTAGGATAAGACTCTCTAAGAAAAGAAAAGGCGAGTGGGCGGGGCTAGCACTTGCCAAATAACCTACCCTCTAAGAAAATAAAAGGCGGGTGGGCCAGGCTAGTATTTGCCAAAATAACACTCATTTTGACCAATCACCGACTCTTCTAAGAAAATCTACTAGCCCCGCCCACCCACCCTTTATTTTCATAAAAGACTAGGTCATCTGCCAAAATCAATCTTATCTTAGCAAGTATGAGACTGATTTTTGCAAATGACATCGTTTAAGAAAATAAGAGTGGGTGGGTGGGGCTAATACTTGTCAAAATGAGACTGACTTTGGCAAATGACATATCCTCTAAGAGAATAAGGGTGGGTGGGCGGGGGGCTAGTACTTGCCAAGATAAGACTGATTTTGGCAAATGACTTATTATTCTAAGAAAATAAAAGTTGGGTGGGTGGGGCTAGTACTTTCTAAAAAAATAAAAAAAACTTAAAAATCAAAAAATGACAAATTGAAACTGAAATATCGAAAAATTGAAAAAAACAAATCTTATAAAATTGTATTCAAACTTCCAGTTTTCATTTATTTTTAGTTTTTGGATTTTTCAACTTTTGAATATTTCATTTGATAATTTACTTGACAATTTTGCAGTTTTTGATTCCAATCTGTTGTCCCGGATTTTATTAGACAGATAATCTCCGAAAGTACTCCACCGATTGTTGTGAAATTTTGTACTTATATTAAGAATATCATGTAGATGGTAAAACGCTAACCAAAATTTGTCTAATCATCCCCACCACTAATGCGATGACGTCACTTCAAAATTGTACATAGTAAATGGGTTTTCAATTGTATATAATAACATAGTCCTACACATGTAGTTTACAACTCTGAATCGACTTTTCACCCGAAACGTCCAGATTTTTGGAAAAAAAATCAAAATTATAAAACAACATTTTGAAATTTAATTTTTAATCTGCTAACCAGAATGCTTTGAAATGTTGCAGATGCTTTAAGGCTATAAAGAGCATCATAAATCTTTAGTCAAAAAATATTTTGCTTATCCCCTCCAAAAACTTGATGACGTCAGCTCAAAAGTTTGTGGAATAAATCATATCTAAAATGTACAAAATATGATGAGTCTGTACTTGTGATCTATCACTCCATTCATATTTTTTGGATTTGCATATACAGGGTGACTCAAAAAAATTAATGAATGCGTAAATATATTTTATTGATTTAATCAGGAACTACAAAACCGAATGCTCTGAAATCTTGCAGATGTTTTAAGGTCATAAAGAGCATAATAAATGTTTAGTCAAAATATATTTGCTTATCCCCTCCAAAAACTTGATGACGTCAGCTCAAAAGTTTGTGGAATAAATCATATCTAAAATGTACAAAATATGATGAGCCTGTACTTGTGATCTATCACTCCATTCATATTTTTTGGATTTGCATATACAGGGTGACTCAAAAAAATTAATGAATGCGTAAATATATTTTATTGATTTAATCAGGAACTACAAAACCGAATGCTCTGAAATCTTGCAGATGTTTTAAGGTCATAAAGAGCATAATAAATGTTTAGTCAAAATATATTTGCTTATCCCCTCCAAAAACTTGATGACGTCAGCTCGAAAGTTTGCCGAATAAATCATATCTAAAATGTACAAAATATGATGAGCCTGTACTTGTCATTTATCACTCCATTCATATTTTTTGGATTTGCATATACAGAGTGACTCAAAAAAATTAATGAATGCGTAAATATATTTTATTGATTTAATCAGGAACTACAAAACGGAATGCTCTGACATCTTGCAGATGTTTTAAGGTTATAAAGAGCATAATAAATGTTTAGTCAAAATATATTTGCTTATCCCCTCCAAAAACTTGATGACGTCAGCTCGAAAATTTGCCGAATAAATCATATCTAAAATGTACAAAATATGATGAGCCTGTACTTGTCATTTATCACTCCATTCATATTTTTTGGATTTGCATATACAGAGTGACTCAAAAAAATTAATGAATGCGTAAATATATTTTATTGATTTAATCAGGAACTACAAAACGGAATGCTCTGACATCTTGCAGATGTTTTAAGGTTATAAAGAGCATAATAAATGTTTAGTCAAAATATATTTGCTTATCCCCTCCAAAAACTTGATGACGTCAGCTCGAAAATTTGCCGAATAAATCATATCTAAAATGTACAAAATATGATCAGTCTGTACTTGTGATCTATCACTCCATTCATATTTTTTGGATTTGCATATACAGGGTGATTCAAGAAAATAAATGAAAGCGTAAATTTATTTTACTGATTTACTCAGGAACTACAAAACCGAATGCTTCGAAATCTTGAAGATATTTTAAAATTATCATAAGCATGGTAAATTTTTGATCAAAACGTATTTGGTCGTCCCCCCTAAAAAATTTATGATGTCACCACAAAATTTTGCTGAAAAAATCCTATCTAAAATGTACAAAATATGGTGAGTCTCTTCTTGTGATTTATCATTCCATTCAAATTTTTTCGATTTGCATATACAGGGTGACTCAAAAAAATTAATGAATGCGTAAATTTATTTTATTGATTTAATCAGGAACTACAAAACCGAATGCTTTGAAATCTTGCAGATATTTTAAGGTTATAAAGAGCATAATAAATTTTTAGTCAAAATATATTTGGTTATCTTCTACAAAAAACTGATGACGTCAGCTCAAAAGTTTGCCGAATAAATCGTATCTAAAATGTACAAAATATGATGAGTCTGTACTTGTGATTTATCATTCCATTCATATTTTTGGATTTGCATATGCAGGGTGACTCAAAAAAATTAATGAAGGCGTGAATTTATTTTATCGATTTAATCAGGAATTAGAAAACCGAATGCTTTGAAATCTTGGGAATATTTTAAAGTTATTATAAGCATGGTAAACTTTTGTTCAAAATGTATTTGTTCATCCCTCCTAAAAAAATTGATGACGTCACCCTTAAATTTTGCTGAATAAATCCTATCTAAAATGCAAAAAACATGATGAGTTTGTACTTGTGATTTATCATTCCATTCATATTTTTTAGATTTTCTTAAGAGGTGGTTCAAAAAAATTAATGAAGTCAATTTATTTTATTGATTAAATTAAAGGCAACACTTATTATTAGTATTACACCCCAACCAACCCAATTTGGTAGACACAAAATTTGTTAAAGGAAAAACTCGGTTGAAACATAAGGGTAGCACGCTTATTTACATCGACTTTAACATTACAGACCTGCATTTGTTTTATGCGCTCACTTGGTTCCGCGAATGTGAAATAGACATGTTTATAATCAACCAATTGTGAATTTCACCGTCAAGAATTAAAATAAAACCCAATGTTTTATATAATAAGCGGAAGTCGAAGCAATAAAACCGACGGTCGTTTTGTTTACAGTTTCTCTGTTTGACTCTCACGTATGCTGTTACGCCTGTCATCTTAAATTAAGAATGTTTATACATACACGATTTTCAGTTGCCTCTGATACGTAGGTATACGTGAGTAAATTGTTTCGTTATTTTATTGATTATTACAAATCAATAT